AATTAAGATTTTTTGGAATATTCGCCACAAAAAAGCAAATTTTTCCCGATAATACAACAGAACTGAATGGATAATAAGTTTAAAAGCATCAATCAAGTGATTTTTCGTCTAACTGGACCCTTTCTTCCACCTCCTCATTATTTTTCTAATGTCATAATTTAATTGGCTTTTGGAGACAAGTCTTCAATTAGGGTCAGCAATCAGCGATCATATGCTGGCTTAAGGATATTACTGGTGTTTAGATTAATAGCATGTTTGTGGATTGCAAATCAGCTTGAAAAATGCTTACTGTCCCAGATTCTGCGAAAGTGATCCAGCTAAAATGGTTTTAAGAGCAAGCAGTTCGAAATTTTTTGCAATCGATTTCTTTCGAATTTAGAAATTTTCTTTGAATATATATTTCGCACCGATTCTCTCCACCGATTTGTTTGAATACTATAAAAATTCATCTTTTTTTCAAAATAACGAACTTAAACGAAGTACTAAAAAATTTCGAAAATTAAAAGAAAAATATGGACAATTTTAAGATAAAAATAGCCTTGTGCCTTATGCAAATAGCCAAGTAGCCAAGTGATCCGATTACTACCAACAATTACGAATTTATTTTTTTGCAATATTCGAAATTCCTCATGAGAGCAATTATTAAACCTTATCATTAAAAAATATCCAAATAGTATTAGCGAAACTGCACCATGTAGTCCCCTGGCAAATATTCCAGGCTAACAATAAACACATTGAGCTTAGCAGAAACGAGCGCTAACCTATGTTTCGAACATGACGATTTTTTTTGTCAAATTATTCTACCAATTATGTTCTGATTTTCTGATTGTATGTTTATATTTATAAAATAGATGGTTATGATTACCGACTTATAAGAATCGTAATTTTTTTAATAAGTTGCAGCCTTTGCAATTCCAAATTCAGTTATCATGTTGCTATTTTTCCTATCCATACATGTAGATGTAGATAAAAAAAACTAATATTCACCATTTCAAATAGACAATGAGAAACTTTTTGCCAGTTAGAAGTATGAACACAAATCAGTTCTTACCACCCACACTATTTATGAAGAATGTCTTTTTCGAAGGAGAGTTTGAATTACAATAATCAACAACCATTCACTTGTTCACTCTCCCATTGTGAATAGAACCAAAAAATAATAATAAACCTGCTAAATTTTAAGACAACCTTTGGTACCAAAGATTCAAGTCGTAAAAAGTCTATAGGAAACTTCCACTTAGATATAAATTTAGCAATCCAGTAAAATTTTTATGTTCTTGCGAAGAATTATGAACACTTTTAAAATATGTAAAAGCCGTTGGAAGAAAAAAATGCTTCGTCGTCAAAAAAAACAGAAAAATTAGAGGCAATCATCGTTGTAACATATATTCATACGTGATTCATTCTAAAAAAAAGCTGGTAAACTTGAGAAATTTCGTTCATGAATTCATTTTAGCAGATAATGTAAATCGTCTACGTTTATATGAAAGAGAAAGCGATTTGGTTATTGTTCGAGTTCTGCAATATTTTAATGCAATAATCTATGTTACGTGCTTTGCATATGTCGCTTGGTTTGCTGGTTGCTTAAATCCGCTTTGCTAAATTCTAAGGAATCAAATGAGCTTTCGTGATTTCGTTGGAACGAAAAAAAATTAGTCAAAACTGTTGTTTATATATATACAAAAATGAATGCTCACTTATTAATAAAAACCATTTTAAAAAATATAAGACTTGAATAATTTACTGGAACTTATAGTATAACAGAAAGTTATAATTATACATTCAGAAAAGAGGCTGACAGGGAAGAACTAATGTAATGGGCCAAGAGATCCTGGGCTTTGATAAAGTTCTTTGGTGACTGCCTTCATTCACCGTAGCACACTCATTATTTGTGGTTTAGCTTGTAATTTTATATATATATATATATAATAAATAATTATTTTAAAAAAATTTCTTCATTCCTATGAGTGATATAGGCACATATCAATCTGCATTTGTGGTTCTCCGCCTGTAGAAGAGCGGTGCTAGTGCTAGAAACAGTTAAATTTACACATATATGTATTATACACATTTTATTATTTTATTATTTATTTATACATTTTATTATTTATACACATATATAATCATGTCTGTACATGTCTCCTTTTAGCAGTTGCAGGACAAAATTTTAACATTTGTAATAACATTTATGACATTTCAGCATTTTCATGCTTTCATTACGAATACTTAGCGCAACGATTATTTAAGAAATTGTTAAAGATCGTTAAAATGATTATATAAAATCCTCGAGTAAATATATACCTTTTAACTTAATTTGCTTTTCCTTATTACCATATTTTAGAAAAACTGGTAAATAGCCGTTGTGAGAAATTAACAATACCATGAATAGCTGCATAATTTAAATTTAAAATTTGAAATTCACACTTCATGAATTATGAAATTATACATAAATTATGAAACTTGCTCTACATGTACGTTATGGATTTAGTCTCCTAAACAACTTGTAAACAAGAAATAATTAGCACTTATTATTTTTAACATTATCAGGCTAGTTCCACCGGCTATTATAATAATAAGACTAGAAAGTCGCTTGGAGACCCAGGATATAGATAAGTACTTAACATCCCGCGGATTTTTTCTTCTACCAAAAGTAAGAGGGTTAACTAGGATTTAAGCTGGCGAACCTTTTTTGCCATGGAACACTTTATAAATCGCAAGGAACAAAAAAAAATGTTTTTCAATTGTTCATACAAAACAAAAATAAAAATTACGAAAAAACAAGTAATTATTATTTAAGTTTGTTTGAATGTAATGCATTTATAAAAAATTAATGAACCGTATTTTTGAAAAAAAAATAAGATCGATGTTTCTGGGCCTTCAAAGCACAAATTCTTTTAATGATATTCAGATATGATATTGGATATTTGAATCTTCATATCAGCCACACAACCAAGCCTATTCCTATATTTGGTTTTTGCCGCGGCAAAATGAAAACCTCTAGAAATAGCACGTGTTAGAAGGAGGATGGTAAAATTTTGCAGAATATAGACAAAATTGGAAATAAACAAGGGATTTAATGACGCACAGGGATTGGAAGAGTGATCTAAGCAGTAAACTTCTCGGCCAAATTTCCCTCGTGGCTTCCAATGTCTTTTGCCATCAGTCAGCGGGGAATTCGCCGTCACCGAATCTTGCTGAAATTCCTATATACTGCAAAATACAGTATTTTTGTTTATAAAGATCCATTAAATTCTTTAAATTTTTATTCTAAATGTTCCATACAACGCAAAACATTCTTTCGTTTGTACGAGGAAAAAACGATTTAAACAAGATTTCGCCAGTAAGCCTCGTCTACGCCAATTGCCACTCAGCCTTTTTTACGTACGGCGATAAGCCTAAATCCTTTCGAACCTACAGTCCCGTTGCCAACATAAGGCACAGTGCATTTTTGGTAGTGGATCAGCTGGGCTTGGAAATGCAGCCAACGGACCAAGCACGGACTGCTCTACTCTTTGAAATTGCTTATGTGCAGAGAGACCTTTTCTTTATTTTTCGTTATTTTCGTTTATTAAATTTCTTATTTGCAGATTTATTTATGAATTTCTGGAGATTGTAAATTGTTGAAAAAGCAGAAAAATATTATCACTGCGATGCATTTTGAGCTGAGAAAAAAAAGCCAAAATTAAAATTTAACAATAATAACAATAACGAACGATGATAAAAATTCACATGAAAATAATGAATGCTCAAAAGATAAAATCGCCAAAATTTGATATTTGATTTTTAACCCATAAAAAATGGCCAACTTGATCTTTGACCTGTAGAAAATGACCCATTTGACCTTTAACCTACGACAAATTGCGGAATAACTTTCGGAAAGAAGTGAATTGAATTGAATTGAATAAACTCCTTAATAAAGAATTTTGATCGCGTTTAACTTTTCGGAGAAAAGTGAAAATAAAAAATTTTCTTCGAAATGGAGAAATGCCTTTGAAATATATTTGTTAACAAACAATATGCCAATCCGCACTTTCCTTTTACCATTTATTTTTTCACATATCAACGAGCATTTTCGAAAAGGAATTACGAAATGATCCTCAAATTTGTCTGATCTGCGAAATAGTTATTGCATCAGTTGTTCATTTTAGAGAAAATGAAGAAAACGATAAAGAAAAAAAGAAATTAACCTCACTTTTCTTTATGGATTATTATGTGTGAAATTCAAACAAACATAAACGAAGAATTCAAAAAGAATAAAATAATGGAGATTGCATCGGCGTCTGCGAAATAGTACTGACAAATGTGTCGTTTTGTAGTTCGTAGTTTTATTGTTTTAATCGTTTTTTTAATTGCTGATTTTATCAAAAATAACTGATCACTGATAACTGATAATAGGAAGGGGGGTGGTTTGTTTATCATTGCTTTTCCTCTTTCAAGTTTTCTGATGTTTGTGGTGCGCTTTTCGGCTTGGCGGGCAACGAGCGCTACCGTTTTCATGCAATTTTCTTTATTCCTTATATTTTGCCACCGCCATAGCGATCGTTTTAGAAAACCAAGGCAAAATATCGTCTGGTCGACGACATTTCTGAAGATATTAAGCATCGTCGCCATCTAGAATTGGTATCAGCTTTTCGTGAATAATCATTAAAACTCAACTTTTTCCGTTATTCTTTTTCTGACCAGTGTTTGAGCATCGGCTTGTCCACCAAATGAATGACATATATTCTCCTTCGTGAAAATCATCCTTCCTGTAGATTGAGCTTGAAAGTTCATGGAAAACTATGGCATAAGATTAAAGTTGCAACGATCGCAGACGTTCTATTTATTAAGGAAAGAGCAGTTTGTCGTCGTCGAGTGAAATTCATAATTGCATCCTAAATATTTATAACTTACGTAATTATTTCTTCTGTTATTTTATTTGTTATTTAGATGCTTAAATTGCTTTTATTATTGTTTTATTGATCAGTTTTATTGAATTAATTTTATTCATACATCGAGGTTTGATGTCGCAAGCAAATACGATAAGCAAACGCAATGGTTCAGGAGGAAATCGAACGAAGAGGTTCGATAGGCGATTCAATGAAAGGTTTGCTTTTTCATTTTATTTTGGATCGATGTTAACGAGTGATTTATGATTGAGTCGTATGCTTTTCGTATATTCGGCTAATGACAAGCAATGTGGGTTCAATTCCTGTTAGGATTTTCTTGACAGGAGAGAAAGCATTATGAAAAGTGAAGGATCTGAAGTGAACCAGGTATTTCTCTGCTGCCTGGCGAAAGGACCTCATCCTAGAAGTTGTCCGAATGGGGAATGTTAAGAGGAAATCGACATTAATAAAGATATTTTAAAGATTTGTATTCTTTCAAACATATAAATAGTTATTTCAGGTTATCAAATACTGAACGAAACTCATTTAGGACGAGTTATTATCATATGAGAAATGGAGATAAGGAGAAACAGATTAAACAGCCTAAAGAAATAATCCGTCATGATTATTCGCATTTATTGCTTGACACACCAGTTTGTTTCTTTTTTTTTTTATATCGCTGAATTATTTAATGGATTATACTATGAAATGGATTATGCAGTGAACTTATAAAATTTAAAAATTAGTCTCGCACAAAACATGGCGACATTGAAATGGAAGGATTCGTTGTGGAATGTAATATATGTTGTCGAGAATCGGATGCTTTTGGAATTGGCGATTGTAATCATCCATTTTGTATGGAATGTGTTATTAGACTTAGAATTATTGCTAAAATTAATAGTTGTCCGACGTGTAGAGCTGATATTGATAAGGTAAAATTTCTTTATTATAAGTTTTTCTCTTTCTTATTTAAATTTTTGCTTGTTTTGTTTTTTGCATATTTAATTTCACTAATTATTTACTATTTAGATGATCTTCGTAAATCTACCTGAAAATGGTGATTGGACAGGTTTTAATTCTCAAATTCAAAAGATGGTTGAACATCCAGACTGTGAACGATACAAACTGCAGTTCACTAGCGATTATTTGGTTCGATGCTATAATAGTTATTTGGTCCATATTTGTCTCATTTGTGAAAAGAAGTTTGTTCCATGCTTATTTTTTTGATACTTATAGTTTTAAATACTTTTATTATCACATAAATTGAAGAAAGTGAAAATTTTTGTTCCAACTTTTTCATTTGCTTTCATTTTCAAGAGATGAAAGACGAGAATTTAAAAATTTTGCTTCCTTGAATCAACATGTATATATGGTGCATAAATTCGAATTTTGTAATTTATGCACGGAACATCTTGATTTACTTTCTCGTGAAAGACGAATTTATTCGCGTCTCGATATGGACCGTCATATTAGGTCAGGGGATCCTGATAATTCTAGTCTGCGAGGTAACATTCTTGCTTAACATTTTTAAACATTGGTTATGTTTTGTTCCTTCTTACAAATGTGTATAAATAATTTTATGGTCAAAAAAAAATATTTTTATTGGTTACTGACAAAAAAGATATCATAGAAATTGTATGGAAATGGCTTTAAAAAGTTGTTTATTTTTTTCCCATTTCAATTATATTTAACATAATACTTTTATATAGACTGCTTTAATTTTTATAAGTATTGAGGGAAATCGTAATGGCAGGCTATTATTTTGCTGCCGGGTTATGTATATTAAATAGTCGAACAATAAATATCAGCTATGCTCTAGGATTTTTGTCTCTAATTGGCACTAATTAGCTTTAAATGAAAGGCAGAGATGAAAAGGTAATGAATGGTAAATTGGAATAAAAGTGGACATTGGTGATGATAAAAGTTTGGAAACAGTAAATCAGTTTGTCGGAGTTTATGTGCGGATACAATTTATAATTTAAATTTATATTATATTTAGTATGAAATGAATATATATAATTCCGTTTCAGGTCATCCAAAATGTTTATTTTGTGATAAACGATTTTTTGATGAAGAATATCGTTATAAGCATCTGCGAAAAGAACACTTCTTTTGTCAAATTTGTGATAATACTGGCTGCAACAATTTTTTTTTTGAGTAAGTTTTCAATTAATTTTGAATTTTTTGAGGACCCAGTCTGAATTAATCATTTTTGTTTCATTATGTTCATCGCAATCTAAATTGAGTTTATATTTCTATTTTTCTTTGTCACTTGTAATAATTGAATATTACATTCATCATATTAAATTATATTATATATTATTAAATTTCTGGCACTGGTAGCCGACACTTACGTGCATTTAAGGTATAATTTAGGTCTCATAGAAATTTAATCGATCATTATAAAAAGGATCATATAGTCTGCGAAGAAGGCGAGTGCAAAAAATTAGGTATAGCTTTCGAAACAGAATTGGAACTGAAAATACATAAGGTAATTTCCCATTTTTAAAGCAAAAAATTCATTCTTTAAAGCAGAAGACTTCTAAGATTTTAAAACGAATTTGCCATAGTTTATTATTATGGCATACCGATATTTATTTTAAAGTTTTTGAAAATTTATTTGATTTAACGGAAGGATTGTTCACTTCATTAACCTCATATTTTAAGAGTTCGAATCATTCTGTTGGGCGTCAAGTTTTAAATCTGGACTTTCATTTTGGGTTAACAGGAAGTCCACGTGGTGGATTGTCCCGAACCAGCAATCGTGTTTCCGTAGTTCCGGCTTTTAATGCTGCGTTGGTTTCTTTACTTCTTTACTTTATTTCGATTGTTGGTTTGCTTTGTATTTTTTTTGAAAAATCAGCGATTTCAGGGAGCCTTCAATCGAAACTTTGGAATATCAGGTAAATTCGGTTGCTCCCCCAACGGCATTTAACATGCAAATGCGAGATTTTCCTCGGTTGAAAGTGTCTTCTAATAAAACTGAGCCAAACCAAATTGAAAAAAGTTCCAAAAATACAACTGCAGTGAGTTTTATGGCTCATGATATTTGATATTTTTGTTGTTTTAATTTTTCATTATGGTGAATACATTATTTCGAAAGGAAATATTAAATACTTAATGAAAGAATTTTTAATTTCCCAATTTTGTCATTATAATTAGAGTGTTTCCATGATTTTTATAGGAAACTGCTCATTCTTCATGGATAATAGATGATGATGATAAATTTCCTCCTCATCGTATGGAAGCCATTGTCGAAAATGACCGAGAGAAAGTCGCTAAGGATTCAGAAGTTTGTTTTGCTGTTAAGTATTATACACTGTGGCAGAATCGTAGAAATTTAATGGTTTCCTGCTAAAAATATCTATGGCATGGTTAATCGGAGTGGACTGGAATGCGCGCTTAGGTCATCATGACGTATAAATAAACTGGATAAATGGCAAATGTAGCATCGGGATCCGGTGCGCCAATTGAGAATTCCTTCCCTTTTATTATTAATATATGATTCCGACATTGGAGAAGATATTACGTGGAACTTTCCGCGTATGATAACCTACATTCAATCCAGATTGGTTATCTTAGCCACCGTCGCCGTATATTACCGTCCGTAATATATAGTCGTTCCTACTGGGATGCTGAAACTGGTAACCTTCACGGATCGGAGCATGTTATGGCTCGAGCTAAAATTTGCGTAAATTTCCGGCAGTCTCAAGAAGCAACGTCTAAGTGCTTTCAAGTATCTCAGACTAAAAGATTCAGGAATTCGCGCATTTCAAACTGTATTTTTGAAGCACCACTGTAAAATGGATATCGATGACATTTCTAGAATTGCAAGTGAATACTGGTTCCAACCAAAAGCATATCTCCAAAAGTCAGTCACTTCTATATCGAGATATATACTACCATCTGAAAATGCTTCCAAAGCATGTATATCAGGAGATTCTGACTACCAGATGCTTCGAAGAATTATAATGGCAATAATATGACGAGATATTGGAATGGTAGCCTTGAGGATGGTGACAGCGACTCGATAATTGGAAACTAATGGTGTTATGGCTATCAGGGGTAGCGTCATAAGGTGGAAAAAATTCTTTTAGGGTAAGCTTAACCACCATCTATTATCCTGGACATAATTGAATCGCTCATCGCCAGAAGAACAGGAAATAATCTCTGACTCAGAAATATAACTCCCGGAGAAAATGGTCTTTGGATCGAACTCTGCAAATATTGTCCTTCATATCACACCTTCAACAATTGTATTTTCTGGTATGGAAGAAAAAATTATTACCAGATGACCGGAGCAAATTAGTTCCCAAAAAAGGGAACAAAGCATGCTGCGACAATTATTGAAGAATCAGCCTATTAGATATCTCCAGGTTATTTGCTTTTCTTCTGCTGAATGGATTTATGGCAGCATAAGACAAGAGGACAACCAAACTGGAATTAGATCGGGACGCGGTTGTGCTGACCAGATATCACATTAATAAAAGTATTAGACCATCGAATATTACAAATATCTACCGTTAGATTTCATCGACTCTGCAGTTGCGTTTGATTCAATTGATAGAACGTGCTTTGGAGGGAAAAAGAGTGAACATGACGGTAATTCTAGAGAAGATAATAAAGGATAAATCAGCGTACATAGCTTTATATATGGGGTACTTACAGGACTTGGATGCAATATTATCCTTACAATATTATTCAAATATGCGATAATTTAGATAATGGATATCTCTCGTAGGCACTCAAAAGATGAAAATCAATCTAGAGCATAGAATCATAGATCTTGAATATGCTGGTGATGTAGTCCTTGACATTTATGGCGAAATTAAATAATAAACGCTAAATATATCTACAGTTGCAACGAGAATAAGATTTTGGACCAGTATAAATACACCTCATATCTATTTTTATCAATTCATTGCCGGTTGAGGAAGTGCCAGATTTAAATATCTCGGACCCACTATTATTCCAAATGGCCAAGCGAAGGACGAAATTACAACCCGGACAATGGTAGCTAGAAATGCTTCCAGTTGATGAAACTGTTATGGACTCGCGGCGAAATCATTATAAAAACGAAAGTTTGCATCTCAATAGTTCGATTTTGTTTTATGGTTGTGAGATATGGCCAATAAGAGTGGAGGATATTAAGAAGTTACCTTTCTTTGGTCGCTCATGTCAGAAATGCATTTCACGCGTCCGCCAAGCGGATAAAATTTTAATGATTGCATTTATCTTTGCTACTCAAATATCAAGTGCATAGTGCATATCTACAATCATAAAACGTCGTCTTCGCTGGTTAGACATCACGTTCTTTATCGCCCTTTGCATGGGTTGGCATATATTTCATATTTCATCACTTGCTAAACCTTGTGACGGATAGCGTCAAAAGGAAGGTGGGCCAGTTAATACTTGGACTGATACAGTCAGGAAAAAATTTGAATGTATAGATGGACCAGCGATATATGGATTTAGACAATGAAAAAGGAATGGCTCTTACTATTGTCAGCGACGGCGTTGGACTGAATAACTTAGAAATGTCTTATCCTGGCCAGCTTAACCAGAAATGGCGAGAACGGTTAGAAAAAGAAGTTTTTTTTCTTTATAATTAATTGCAGGTAAATGTGTACAATAAAACCAGCATTGAAATCCCTGAACAGGAAAACAAATGGAGTTCAAAAGCAAAATGGGTGAAAAATAAACATAATGAATTCGCTCCCGATTTATCCTATGAAAGTTTTCCTTCTTTAAGTTATACAATAAATTCAGTGACTAGCTTACCTGCAAACTCTGTTTGGTCGCAAAAATCGAAAAAAAGCAGTTCGAAGAAGATAATTAATGTATAATCTATTTATATATATATTTTTTTCTCTTTCTTCTCTTGTTATGTTGTAATTTCGAATTTACTTTCTATAAATTTCGAATCTTTAGTGCAAAGAAAACCAAAATTTCATAATTTTTATCGATTCTAGTTTTTACGGGGCAAATAACATTATTGAGAGAAAAGAAAAGGAAGATCTATTTTGTTAAAATGAAAAGCTTTAACGATTGAAAAAATAGGATATTAATATTCATTGATTCCGTAGATTTTCATATAAAACATTGCTTTACCGTAATGGCATCAGTGAAATATCATAAAAATAAACTGTTCTCTCTGTTAATCGTGCTGAATTATTTTACCTAATTGTTTTTTTCAGAGTTTAGATGATGTTGGGATATCATATGGAATACCTGGGATAGCCGAAATAAAAAAGGAACAAGTGAAACAAAAAAAGAATAGTCCAGTAGTAATTATTTTTTCGCTAATTAGTTTAGTAATTAGTTTAGGTTTCTTAAAATGAGAATTTTTAATTTAAATCATTATAATCCAATATTCCATGAATGAAGGATGATGGAAATCTTTTTATGAATGTTTTAAAAATAAAATTTCATCTCAGTTCTTACTTTTTTAGTTGAAGGAACTGTCAATATCATCTGATGAAAAGCCATCGTCGTTGAGTTTCTCTCAGGTAATCTGTGATTACTATAATTATTTAAATTTATTGATTTTGCATTTACTGGTTAAAAACTTGCACTTGAGGGATTCTCTCTCCTTTTTTCTTATTTTGTTAATCAACATTACCTCTATATAGATATTGGCAAATTAAAAGACAGCCAATTTCGATTGTATACAAGCAACAAGAGATAAATGTTAGCTGATCAGATGGTTAGAAGAGAGATGGTGAACCGCAAGTTAAAGTAAAAATAGATGGATAGCGCTTAAGAAATTTTGCGAGGAAGTCGTTTGGGATAGGACTGCTAATACTCATATGTTTTAATGGCAGGTTTGGTAGAGTCGAAGTCAAGATTCGAATTCCTGACTAATCTGATTAATAGCCACTCGGCTTTTTTGCTAAAGTTGACTCAGATTTCGTTTTAGCATTTATATTATACGTTACTATAAAGAAATCTAAAATGGGTAGGCTTGTGGCAGTTTATAGGAGAGACGCCGTAACTAAACGAATTTGAACTATGGTTATGCCGACCAAACATTTATGCTAGGGAATAAGGAATAGTGTTGGAGTGATATTGGTATTGGCTTTAAATATCTACTCAACAGCTTCACTGTTTTTATCGCTTCGATTCAGTTGAGCTCTGGAGGTATATTGGAATGCTGTATTGTTCTAAGGAGGATCATTCAGCTCATAAAGGCATTTCGCCAGCGAATGTCGATACTGTATATATGGGAAGCTGATATATTCTTTCGAAATAAAAACTGGTTTGTCCGTCAGAAAAATTGGTCATTTCCCGTACAATATTCAATGTTGATGTGCTGTATGTTGATGAAATAGTCGACAGTTATGAAGAACGCGGGATATGGATAGTGTCTCAATAAAAACGCGAATATCCCAAGTTTAATGTAAATAAAACGAATTCTGATGCTAATAAAATGCCTATTTTTATCAGTTCATGGATTGAGGAAGTGGTAGACTTCAAATTTCTTGGATCCATTCTTATACCAATTGATCAAGCCAGAGACGAAATTATGGTTAACCGCAACTGGAAATGAGTTCTTTCGTCTACTATGGAATCGCAAACGGTATCATCATAATAACGAAAGTATCATGCCTATCTTACTGCATTGGACATTATCCTGTTGGATAGCTGCGAAATTTAACTAATAAAGTGGAAATTGTTAAGAAACCATTTACCTTTGACCACTAATATCTAAGGTACATTTTATCTGTGTAGTGAGCAGATAAAATCTTGCATGATTGCATCCACTTTCTATCAAATACTGCATTGAAAACATCGTTACAGAGCATGGCTGGTTAGGCCATGTTCTTCGACACCCATCACATATTTGACGCATATTTTGGTACTTGCTAAATTGTGATGGCGTCAAGAGTAAGAAGAATTAATCAAAACTTAAAATGATATAGAAAAAATTTTAAACGTATAGGCGGCTCAGCAATATATGACTTTAAACTGTGGATAAAGGAGTGGCTTCTTTTAATCTCAAGTATGACATTAGATCAAGATGTCTGTAGGTTCCTTTCTCTCTTTCTTTCTC